TGCATTCGTGAGCATCTTAGCCGTGAACGCCTCTAAATTGTGCACATTTGAAAAGTTTGTCTTAAGAGTTTCAATATTAATTAATGTGTGGTTGATAGTTAATTACATTACAAAATCTATATTGCATGTGCACGTTTTCTTTGATAACCTATCAAGTATTGCACTACGATGTTGCAAGACGAATACCGAACATCTGAATTCACAGTACTGCCATGGAAAAAACGAAACCACATCTCCTTTGGCGACGCGAGCAGTAAATGTATGTGAATCCACGCGGCCACCTACGTAGTTTTTAAGACACACGTGAGCGTCAGGAATTACCATGGCAACAGTGAAAACAAAATTATAAAATAATGTAATTTTAGACCGTCTCTAGTCAAGCGGTTACAAGTTAGTATGACTGCCTCAAAAGTGGTGTTTGACTCGGGCGGTAAAATGTGATTTTATTTTCCTAGTAAGATTGAGCGACTCGGTCTTCTGTCACATTTCCTACCTGCAAAATAAACACTTTTACCACTCGTATCGTAAATAACTTATTTACTATTTTGTTTGAACAAACTACTATCCAAGATCAAACAAAAAATCAAATCATTACAGTTCAAATAAAAGCTGAAATGAAAATACAGAAATACTCCTCTAATACCAACATTGCCTAAGGACACATTTTCCAGTGATTCGTCTTCTATTAAGAAGTAACGTCTGTCCTTTAACAGCGCGTTCTTATTGGGATAGCTCAAACCTAAAAATCTGCCTAAGGTATTTTTTCCTACCGGTTGCACCGTACAACGACCATTTCTGTTATTTAAAATAATATTTTCGAAGAACAACCCTGTGGTCAATAAAACGAATTCCTTTATCAATTTCATTCTGTTCATCTCTACACCTTTAGCCAATAATTTGTAAAAACTCAACACAGAAAAATTAAGTATTGTAAACGGAACCTCTATCCGCTTTTTTGCTAATACATTCGGATATTAGATGTATACATAATTTTTGGAAATGCAGACATTTCCACTGGCATTATTTCAAAAAATACTTTCCAAAAACAGATTTCATTGGGAAAAAATATTTGTTCATTAATCGTTACTTAGGATCGTGTCTGTTGAGAGTGGCGCTCAAACTCTACTCCGCTATCAACCTGGAAAGCTGCGAGGTGGCATCTCCGGATGTCAGTCTGACGAAGTGCAAGTGCTACCGATGGGGGAAGTGAGAGTAAGCCACAAGGCAGGTGCCCCTCAGTAATATCCCCCATGGGGTTGGGCGGCACGGTGCCCGGGAGCGCAAATGGTGAATAAATACTATGTCAAAGGCGCACACGGGAACTCCGAGACAGGTAGTTGCAGATATTGGTTATATATATATATATATATATATATATATATTATATATATATATATATATTCGTGAGGGCACTGAAGTACAATGAGTCCCCCTCTCCTCTCACAATACTGGGCCCATACAGAATTTGGAGAAAATAATTCCATCCAATTGCCACAATACCCAAGAAGTCTCATTTATAATACTTTATTTTTTAATCAGATATCTAACACCCAAGTGTAGCAGAGTTTTTGTTTTAAATGGCTTTTGACTTATTTGACATGCTTTCAATACTATTTTGCATTTTCTTCTTTCATTTTGCAGCAATTAATTTTTGCTTATTCATATCGCTCATTTTGAAGGTAAAATACTGAAGATTAACTTGGAAGTACATTGTAAACATAGTTCATATCATTTGTTTTTTGAAAACCATACTGAAAATTACTTCAGATTTGCAAATTAAATACTTGGGTAAACCTTGAAAGGAAAAATTTACTAGTGAATTATAAAATCTTCCATGCATTCGGAAGACTTCAAGCTCTCGGGTTTGCAAGCTGACTGTCTGGCATAAACATGATGTTATGCCCTTGGAACAAACAATTACCATTGAGTATCTTAGGGATTCAATTCAAGTCACAAACATTTGCTGTACAATATGCAGTGAAACATTGGAAAAAATGTCTATCTTCAAAACCACTCAGTGGAAACATCAAACTGAATCTTCATTCAATAAATTGCAAATTTACTGTATGACAGAAGGAGAGGAGTGTATGAATCACGTCTTAAAAGACATATACCATATGGTTTTTATGACGCTAAATTTTATTTTAACAAATTATCTGTACATAAAATTTGTAGATTTAAATAAAATTATCATAAGAAATCACCATATGCTATCTTCTATCTTCCATAGTTCCTTTCTTATAGAAAACCCATACATAGTAGCTAGTACATAGACGTCAGATGTAAACTAGTGGAGAGTTATGGAGTCAGAGAAAGAACAGTTCCTTAAAAAATAAAAATACTTTAACAAATCCTTGTAGTGATTAAAATATTATATTAATATAATATGAAGTTATTAAACCAAAATTAAAAACTACATCAATCAGGCCATAAAGTATTTTCGTAATGACTGAATAAACATTCCATAAATACTGAAACAATAGGGATCTTGAAAATCAGTTCTTTCTATTAGATTTATTTCTTCTGCGGTAAGGACTAATGTGTACTGAAGTTACGTAAAATTTTATTAAAATATAAAATGTTTACAGAATCACGGTTTTCCCAGCACTTCCCAGTTATTTAATTTAATTTCCACTTCTCCCTTCCTTCTGCTTTACCTACCCAGTGTCACTTGTATACATTACTATCTATTATTACTATCACAATACACACATTGGAAAATACATGTACTTTTACTAAATTTTGCTAATAAATAAACAGCATTGTTATTTTGCATTTCAAATCGCAATTCCCCCTACACTTTTACTTGTGCTCAAAAGTTTTTGAATTGCTAAGAAAACTACACAAATTACTGTAATTAACATATTATTTTTAAATGCACTTCCTTGCCTAAGATTTAAAAGAACTGTTTGCGAATGAAATCATCAGCCAATATATTCAAATTTAAAAATTTGTTATTAAGTCATGGTTGACTTCTTTCTCACAATATTGTTATTTGATTTCTTCGTTAATTCCTTTTTAGAACAATTTAAAAATGAACATTGAAAGTTGTTCATTGGCCAATAATAGTACAAAAGCAATACAAGAGTTATCAAAAACAAATTTACACAATATACAAGGTCATCCGTGGCTTCAAAATTGTACACACATCTTACTATGTTTTATTGATCAATGTACAATGATGTTACAATGATCATTTTTCCACAAGACAATTTCAGAGCTTATATTGCAATGTGAAGAAAAAAATAACTCCATTCACACTAGGTCGTCTTCTTAAAAACTCAATCTTCATTTCAATAAAATGCATAAGCTGCAGAGAACTGCTTTGTCTTGGTTTGAAGGAATTACCAATGTCTCTAATACTTTAATGCAAAAGAGTTTCTTTGAAAGCAACTTACACTCTTTTTGTTTTCCTTAAATAAAATCAGTCACACCAGAATATATGAGCAAATGAGTTTCATACAATGGAATGCATTTAACAACATATTTTTGATATCTGTACCTAATAGTGAAACGAAAGTAAATGTTGCCACAGTGTTCTCGAAATGCACAATGTTCGTACAGAAGAAAAATCTGAAGAGCTCTTCCTCTTTCAAATGGAAAAAAAGCAAGATGACACTGAAATTTACAACCTTTCTATACATGACATTTTAATGATTCTATTATTGAAGTTTCAGATCTAAATCGTTTTCATTCATTCACTTACTTGTACCAAAGTTTATATGATATTCCCTTGACAAGAAAAAACAATTCTCCACAAAACATTTTTCCTTATTCTCAGTGATGGATATCCACAAAATGAAGAAAAGATTCTTCTTAAGAAATAAAAATTATGTCAAAAAAAAGTGCAAATTAAAGTAAAAATTCACAGCCTTAGCGAATATATTTTAATTATTAGGTTAGATTAACACCACATTACTCCACATTTATTGCATTCCCAGGCTCAGTGAATCTATTTTTGCCTTAACACAATACTCCTGACTAATATCAGACTTGCTCACAAAATTTTAAGTGCAAAATCATGTTGTAAAGAAAATCGCTTTAATGCAAATTTAATTAAGTTTGCTTGAGCAGTTTTTTTTTTTTTTTAATGTAAATCTAATAATATTGTGAATAGACAATAAAAAAATCACAAGTCTCTTTTCAAACTACAAAAAAAGGGAGTTCTTCCATTGTATGTTTGGTATTGTCAACATATAAAAACTTTGGGAACTGAAGAATATTATACATTTTTCTATTACATTACAAAATTGGGGATAAATAGGACTTAAGGTTCTCGAAAGTACTCAACTCCGGCGACGTACCTAAATGTTTGACAAAACGGTGAGTTGAAGAACAAAAGTATTAGCCTGATACCTAAAACATTACTATACTACTATTATAATATTAGTTTATAGTAGTAACACTGAACCACCTCGTTACAATTTCTAATAGTGCTTTATTGTGGAAGTAAAAGTTACCAAGAAAGTCGGCAATACTCACCTTTCACGAAAAAAAGCAAAGTTTTTATTCTTTAAATGCAATTAGTCATTAACATTTAGGATTATTCTTCATTCTATATAATTACCGCATTTAAATGAGGCCTCGAATTCGATAATATAGTTTATTCATTAACATAAATCTATTATTTACATTACAACTGCATTTGATGTTTGATTTACACTGGCAAAAAATACATAAACCTGACTGGCATCACGAACAAGTTTTCGAGTATACATTATCACACAAGAATTTGGGACAATGTTTTTAAATTCAATAATAAACAAAAATGTAGTGATTTATTACATCACCGACATCCTTTTACTCGCTTATGCGTTGTGATTGCATGCAACGAAACATTTCTCGAAAATTTGCAACGTAATGATGCTTTACAGAACAGCACCAACAGCATACTAACGTAAGCTGTCACGGGATCTCTATTCGACGATTTTGTCACAGCGACGCAAAAGACAATTCCAATGCGACGCCATCTTAGAACTCGAGCGCGAGTGACTGCTTACCGGTGCTTCGTTGTTGCCTCGAGTTCCCGTTGATTTTGGACCTCTTCTCAGATTGTGAATATTTCAGTAACATACTGTCGTGTTATAGTTCCACGTCGTGTCTCTCAAAAATAACAAATAACAAGTATTAGGCCACTATTGGTCGAAAGGTCACGAACAATATTATACACAACCACTGAAGTGCGGCCATTACCCTTCTCTGCTGAAGCCAGCCGACTAGTATGGAGGAACCCGATTGGTCCAGGTGACTGACGTCAATAGCGACTACTGTCCATATGCATGCGTAAAATTATCCTCACTAAAATTGTTTACAAACGTGTTAAGTGATTATGTTGGGCGGATTTAACCTGCTTTATCATCCAACTTACTAATATTCATCTTAACCAATTGACAATACTTTTTATATTTTTGCAATGTGAAAGGTCCTGTAAATCCTTACTACACAACTATTTTCAGTCGTACCTGACAAATTCTACTTGAACGTTGTTGCTTTCAACCAAAATTGGTTTTAATTTCTTTCGGATTCATAGTGAATGAATTTCATGGAAGAGGTATGTGGATATGGGGTAACGGGTGAATTAATGCCACAATGATAGCAATCATTTTTTTTATTTTTATTTTAAGGTTTACTAAATCTACAATATTTATGGCTCAGGCTGTTAATCACTCTAGACTAAGCACAAATCACCAAAAAACGGACAACTTGAACATAATTCAAAACAGGCAAAATTACAAAACAGTATGCAAAAATAGACCTTTTAAAAAGTCACTCAAGAAACAGACACATCAAGAATGATCTCCCTCTCAGTATCCGGAAAGGGACAGGATATCAAGGCAACTAGAAAACTGGTAACATGATTTGTGAGTTGGTCAAATTGTGACTAATGTTATGTGAGGAGGATGGAATGGTTAGAAAGATGTGAAAGTGAAACCATCAGTCTATCTCCTCCATTTCACACTAACAGAAGACTGATCCAAGTCTTGACTGCTCTAGCTAAGAGATGGAAGCTCCCCTCAATCATAATGGCACTTAAAACAGCTGTGGTGTCTGTGCATCTACAAATTTTTGGCAGATGTGTGGTAGTGATGGTGTTCTCTTTCGAAAAATAAAATCAGCTTTAACCATTCCACAACTGGCAAAAAATGCAAAACAAATGTGAAACACTACACTGGTACGCTTTTTCAACAAAAAGCATGGCGTTTTTTGCTGCATTGCTACTCTGACAAAATCCGCCAATGAACTAGCTAAAGATTAAATAGTTTTGGTTTGCGTACACCATCACAGAAGCTGGCTTGTGCTTTAGATGTAAGTTTAATCACATAACACACAACTTTTTTTCAGATTTTGTGGCTGAAGGTTACAAACTCTCAATGCCTCAAGCAGAACAGTATCGACTTACACTTTGAAATCCAGCAAGTACTGTATCAATTACACACATGATTAGCGAACATAGGCCTCTGAAAAGAATACTGGGGGCCTTATATGCAGTACTGTACATTTCAATACCAAAAGCAGGACATATTATCAACATTTACAATACCAAAACAGTACCAAATCACAAAATTGCTCAATCTTTGGATGCTTCGGAGTGGCCCCGTTTCGATACACAACATTCTAGAAGGTTGAAAGGCAGTGAATCTTATATCCGCAGGACCAGCAATTTTGCTTCCACCGTCTTCTCCACGACTGTATTCGCTCATGGTGCCGCTTATAGCAATTCTGAACAAGAAAAGCAAGTATATAGTCTTTCTCAGAATCCATTAGTATCATGAAACATGAAGCCGCCTGTATACAGTATTGAATTACACTGCCTACTTGACTTCCAACAATCACTCTACAAGAAAAAGAAGGCAAGTCTGAAAACATTGAGAGAACGACAAGACTACGTTACAATGTATAGGGGGTGTGATTTGTAAAGTTTCCTTGATTGAATTTCCTCATTAAAAAGCGGCTCAACGAACGAGATGAAGCTTTTTTGGCTTGGGGGAAGAGGGGGCTGGGCAGCGGCTAACTCTGGCAGCAACTAGCCAGAAGAAGCAGTCTGCTGTTCCTCAGATTGGTTACTCAAACGCTCCTTATTCTGTCGCACCATCTCAGCACGACGTTCCTGAAACATGCAAACAATACAATAAACAAATTGAAATAAAAATAACAGAATCATGAAATATTTCAAGACAGAGCCATAATTTAAATATGTTCAAACATCCAGTCTAAAATACAAGTTACTAATTGCAAAATAGCAATTAACAAATTTACTAATTCCTACAATCAAGTTACTGAGAGAGAATGTACTTGTGACTACATCCACATGGACATGCAAGCCATTTTACAACAAACATGCAGAAAAGAAACCAAAGATTTGACCATCGCACATACGTGTCTACGGATGCTCTCAAGTCTCTTTTGTATCTCCTTCTCACGATTTTGCTCCGCCATTTCCAGTCTCTCTTGAATATCTTTCACCCTTTCTTCTATCTTCATCATATTTTCTTCATTAATGTGCCTCACTTCAGCAAGCTTGACATTCTGTTACATATGTGACAGTACATGCTACATTCAATCTAGTGCAATACAGCAGAATAGAATGAAGAAACAAAGAATAAAGCACTCTTATCAAGACTTCATGCACCAGCACACACATCTACTAAGAGATGAAATAATGAAGTAATGAAATTTTAATTTACCCTTTAGCAACAATTCTAAATACTTTACAGAGAAAATGTAAGTTTCTTTTAGATTTTTGAGAAATCTATGAAAAAGAATGAAAATGAAAATTTATTTACTTGTCTCTCCTAATAATCAATTTTCTAGTAATTTTTATTTTCTTAATACAGTTTAATTACACAATACCTCAAGGGACTTTTGGAGAACTGTGCTTGTTCATGTGGACTTAACTTTATTATAGAACACAAAAATTTGATATTTTTTTTAAATTTGAATTTATTTACTGTAACTTTAATATAAAGACAGTGATACACTTTGTTTAAGGGAATAGTACTCATTTCATTTGGCAATGTATAACAAGGAAAGTATCTCTAGTGTATCAAACATTTCTTCATAGGCATGTGATAAGCCGAGTTCAAGTACATGTGCCAAAGAAAGTCCATTCAGTAGTACTCTTATTAGTTTTATCCAACAAGCAATATGATGTTGCCAGTTCAGATGAACAATTAAAAGATTACTCTGATTTATTTAAACAATATCAACTGAAATTCAAGAAGTAAGAAACAATCTTGAATATCGTTATAAATGGCAGCATAGTGACATGGGTAAGTCTACTCCAATTTGTTATTGATATCCAACTGAAATTAAGCCGACAAATTTCTTTGAAATATTGTAAGATAGTGATCAAAGGAGAAAGAAAATAAAGGTAATTTTTATCCTTTAACAAAATGCACTAAATAAAACTCCTTTTAAATCTAAGACTATAGTACATTAGTGATTAATAACAATCCATTACAGGTTAATACAACTAAGAAATGCACAACAATAAGTACACACATTTGCAAAGTACAAACAAGTATAAAAAAGTAATAATAAATAAATACATAACAATGATAATGAACATGAAACATGAACAAAAATAATAATAATAAAAATATAATAAATATAGAGAACTCCCTCCCCAACCTAACATCAGAATCTAAGGAGGCAAAATGTAATTGAAAGATATTAATAGATTGAAGAAAACTAACTGTAAAGTTCTTGGGTTTGAGCTTCAAACTACTTGCTTCTAACTTACACACTCATGGAAGTCTTTAGCACAATGGAAAAGTAAACTCTTTGAGAAGAAAAAATTGTGCATTTAAATCATCATCATGATCAAAACCTATTCATAGCTAGGCAAGATTCAGTTCTGAGAACAAGTTATTTCAGATGCCATCCAGAAGAACAAAAAGCTTTTTGCAATTCCGCAAGACAGGAGGTATTCTCTCAATTTTCCATCTCCCCACCCCCCAATATAAAAAGGTCTGTGGAGGGAGAATAGCAATAGCAATGCTAACCCTTCATCATGGAATGCCATCTTCAAAAGATCTGATCCCTTTACCTTTAATCATGGATATCCGACCCTGAACATCCAGCTTTTGCACAGACTCCAAATGACTTTTGGAGATGCACAGAACTGGCTTCCTGGAATCACTGCAATGCATATGGAACCTCTCCCTTCACCTACATTTGAATGCTACCACACCCAATTTAAGCTTCATGTTGTGGGGTTAATTATAATTTCTATTGTTGTCACCAACTTCTGCTATAACTGTTTCCCCTTTTCATTCTAATTCAAAAGAATTTTTTTATATTAGGGAGGAAAACTAAGGAAAAATTTTTGATATATATTATATCACAGCAGAAATGCCAAGAATTATCAAGAAAATAATGTTGAAGACTCAAGAGGACACATGATGTAAGTAAACTAGAGTCAAAATGTGAAGTTTAACTTTTGACCTGGAATATAATTTATTTCAGATTGTGGCCACTGTCCCAGAGAATTTTTGAAAATGCTTCCATAGTATATGAACAGATTAAAATAGAATAAAAGGCAGAAATTTTATAAAGTCAAAAAGTGAATAAAAAGAAAAAAGTAAATAATGATAGTTAAGTAAATAAAAGATAGTTAATAAAATTAATTACAATACAACAGAAATTCAACACAATACAAAAACAGTATTTGAAATGCCTACAATGATACAAAAATTATTAAGAAATTATACTGTTGTAGCAAGTTCTCTAGCAACAGTGCAATTTGCACCATAATACTAAGCTGACTTAAAGAATTTTGAAGTCCATCACCATGTCACTAGCTCTTTATTTCCATACACAGATCTCAAGTAGTTGCCCAACTGTGCATACAACCAAATACTGATTTCCTTCAACCAAAATCAACAAGAATTGTGTTTACAAGTTAAGTGGCCTACTTGTTTAACTCCCACTACTCAAGTACCTAACTACACTTTAGTTTTAAAATACTTTGCTTACTTCATTGGTTTAAAAAGAAAAACACCCCATGGTCATCTATCCAGGTCATTTATTGAAACTTAGTTCCATTGCAGAAACAGGGGCAATGTACTCACATGGTTGCGCAGCTTCTCAAGCTGTTCCTGCTCCAACTGTTCACGCCTGCTCTGTGCACTTTCAAGCTTGTTCTGGATCTGCACCTCAAGCTGAGCCACTTTCTCTTGCATGCCGGTGCGCACGCGGTGAACCTGATCCTCCTGTCCACGAACACTCAACACTCAGACACATGCAATTTACATTTTGAAGCCTACTGGTAGGGCATTTACCACAGGCTCAGAAAAAAAAATCTTTAAATGACTAGTTCTAACCAAGCCTATTCGTCCAAATACATGCCAAAGAGCGCGCATTAACACACAGTGCAATTAAAGCTTCACTTCTTAAATTTTGGTAAACATCCATTCCAAAATACAATTTGTTGCTGCCCTGAATAAATTGCATTTCAAAATAAATATGCTGCTAGTCAAAATAACACTCCGCAACTGTGCAATGTGTGATTTTGTACGTATAGGCCTGAAAAATGTTTACTTATATTCTCAAATAAATTATCTGATAAAACATTAAATCATTTAAAATATGAATTTATAAAGTAACAATATGAAATGACATATGTTTCATGCATTGCATTTTAAAGAAGCAAAATATTCTTAGCACATACAACATTGATAGCATGCAAAATAACTGAAAAATTAACCCACATGTTCTCGAAGTCTATCTAACATCTTTTTGATATTTTCATCTCGCTGAGCAGCTGCAGTCTTCAGCTTCTCTTCCACAGCAGTTCGCACTTCGCTAGTCTGCTGTTCCAAAGTCAGTCTTGTCTTCTCCACACTCTCCAACTACAAAAACAAAACGATAAATATGCAATTAATCGTTACCAAAGATATTTAGAACAAAATGTACTTCCATATTGCAGAAAAATATGCAAAGTATCTTCAGAATTTGAGACAGAACAGTACACTAGGGATGTGACAGTAATGTCAGTTTTCAAAACATAATGTTTTTATAAAATCCTTGATGTATTTAATATCAATTTTTCTGAACATAAATATTTGTGTGATGTTGTTATGTGATTGATATTTTATTTTGAGTGGAGAAAAATAAAATACTGCTTTACTAGCCACTAACAGGACAGAAGCACCGCTCCTAAACTGAGGGTATTTAAGAATAAGAAGATATCCATTGGGTCATTCTACAGACCAAAACGAGCAAGGATGAAAAAATAATTAAAATTGAGGTTTCATCAATATATGCAGACTATATTACTTTTAAATTATAAAATCAGATAATAAATTATTTTTTTTATTTTACTTTTTCAGTTAAATATCAATAAAAAAAATTGTGTTCATGCGGGAGGCCATTTGATGTGACCACCATCAAATGGCCTCCCTCATGAATTTTAATGGTAACTCAAAATGATGATTAAAGATTTAAAAACATTGATGTTTTAATTTTGAACAAGAAAAAGCAAGTATATAGTCTTTCTCATCAGTCACATCAGTTTTGTTGGGGATGTCTCACCCCCAGAACACAGTATGTGGACATTTTTAAAATGGCCAAAAGAATGTTTTCTTTCAATAAGCACATTTATTTTCAATATTATTGTATTAACATTTTTTGATAGGAAACAAAATAAATGAATTCTCAATAATATTCCCATTTTTGCAGAATATTTCTACATCTCACATGACACTTTTCAGTTTTTGTTAAACAGTACTCACCCTCAGTGCTGAGGTCAGCAAATTAAATCAAAATCTTATTAAATGTTCAAAAGTGATATGCGTTGGACCTTCACTTCCCAGAATAAAATGTTTATTACCATGCGATGTAACTATGGCTATCATTTTAAATTCAAATCTGAACTCTCATTTTAGAAAGAGAGAGAGCGAAAGATAGAGAGAGAGCTGCAAAATACTCTAGTCTTTAGGAACCCTCTCTACTGAGTAGACCATTCTTATCTGTCCTTGCTATAGATTAATGATCGAAATAGCCCTCATTCAACAAACATGTTGTTATACTTAACTACCAGGATGAACACTTTTCCTAAAACAAATTTCGTAACTGTTGGCAGTTGTTTTCTTAATTTAATCCTAAGTAACATTTCACATTATTTAAGAAAAAGTAAATGCATGACAGCAAAGTCTTTAATTTCCTCTAAAATTCTCTCTCGCTACACATTGCAAGAGGGGCACACACTATGATTCAAAATCCTTGGCAGCTCTCCTATTTCTCTAAGAAAAGTAATACTTGTTTAACAAACAGAAATGATGCAAAAAATAACCATCAACCAATTTTTGGGGACACAGTATTGTTCTAAAATTTACTGAAAAATTCTCCATGCTTCCAAAAAATTTTTTTCCAAATGTTCTTCAATGATCCAAATGTTCTTTGATTATCACCTCAATTTATCCAAATAATACAAATTTTCTTACTTAAATAGACCCTTTCTTACTTTAAGCTGCCACATTGCATATCCAGATCCAAGCACTTGTTACGATGAGGTAGCCCAAAGTCAGAAGAGTTAAACATTTAACACGTAGATATGAATAGTATCACCTGAGAAGTATGTTTGTAACTATATGGTTTCTTGAGATTTAGGTTTTACGTGGACATCATTTACCTTTTAGTTACATTGGTTTGTTGTTAATTATACATCCAAATATAACCACTTTCTGAAGGGAGAATGGCAACCTCAAAACATTAATAAGGTTGCCCTTATGCCTTCCTCCAAACACTAACATAGGAGTGTCAGGCACATTATGTTGAGGCAAGGCAAAATTGGAAAAGTATGTATTCTACAATTATTATCTCACGCAGATAACCAACCATCAAATTGATACAAGATTGTAATTATAAATCTGAATGTCAAAAAAAATTAATAACATCAGAAAAAGGTAGCATGGAGAAGTTGGCTATCACATCTTATTAGTCTCCTTGTGTAAGGAGATTAAACATACTGATTTAGAGCTTCATAAAAATGGGAATGAATGCATGAAAGCAAGTCACAGAGAGAGAGAGAGAGAGATAGAGAGAGAGAGAGAGAGAGAAAGGAGACGAGACAGAGAGAGAGAGAGAGAGAGAAAGAAAGGAGACGAGACAGAGAGAGAGAGACAGAGACAGAGAGAGAGAAAGAAAGGAGACGAGACAGAGAGAGAGCGAAAGGAGACGAGACAGAGAGAGAGCGAAAGGAGACGAGACAGATTAATGGAAGCAAGGTGAGAACAAGTAATGAAACCAATGAAGAGAAAAAGAGAAGGAAAAATGAAAGGCAGAAACTATTCAGAGCAGGAAGCTAGGAAAATCTGAAACATACATTTCAGAATAAAATCCTGAAATAAGTTGATATAAATCTCTGCTTTCTATTTTACTCAGTTTCGATTTCTTTAACATATTAAAAATTAGCTACTTCTGCAGTATCCAAGGTTTTAGAAGTGTAAGTGTAAGGAATATAGTTTTTTGCTGCCAGAAGAGGAGTTTTTTCTGTTTTTCTTGCTCCTATACATAGGAAACCAGTCTTCAGATTCTCGTCTTACTATGTATTAGTGAAGTAAAGAGAGAGTATTCTCAGCTGTGAATGAAATTGGCTTATATTGTCAGGCCTGGTAATGGAAAGTGGATAAATCTCATTCCTATATGTAGTAAATTACTTCCTCACATCCACTCTGTAGTCAAAATCCACATTCTGTGGGTCCTTGTTCGCAAAATACATCAGATGGCAAAACATTGGCCCATAGGTGGTCCTAGTAACTAAACCAAACCATTTTCTCCATAATTGATATTCCTCAATCAATCTGATTGAACTTCCTGCCCTGCGAGTTTTAAAACAAATATTTTGATTTTGGGATAATTTAATTGAAGCCTGAAAATCTCAAATCTCAATTAATTACTCAAAATTCACTCCAAATTTTATTAAATTTTGTCCCCTTGATGGTGTAAAGAGCACTCTCAAGAAAGGGAGCAGTTTTCATTTTCATTTAATCTCTGAATTTTTGAAAATTGAAAAACTTGAAAGTTTGCTCAGTGATAGTTCAGTTCAAGGTTCATTGATCAGTTCAAGAGATAAGGTCAAGTAAAATTTTTCAATATAATTAATTTTCATGTTTTCTCCATAGTCAATTTTTGGAGAAATGATCACCATTAAAAAAAAATTCTAAAAACAGCTTTAGATTTAACATTCCCCCTCCCTCATATGTAGCCAAAGACAGTAAAACAAATTTGTTGTTGCTTCCTTTTCGGCAAAATTGCAACAACAACAAGAAAAACAAACAGTTAAGCTCCCAAATTGTAGAATAATAATAATAAATTATTATTGAAAACTTGCATACATTGATTGACAGTAAATTAAAAGCTTAAGTTAAGCAAGAGTACAATATTGATAGTAGAAAATTTTTTCGGAAATAAAACCTGTTCAAAAAAATTAGATATCAAAAAATGCCAAAAATATTTTATTGATAATAGTGAATTGGATAATTGATAACAGGAACAGTTAGTTTTTCCAAACTTTCTGATTGTTCGTTTTTCTCACAAACAGCTGCCAGTTTTCACGAATAGCATGTTAAAAAAATGGTGCTATCTTATTTTTGATGTTCCCTCTCTTAATTTTCATAAATTGCAAAAGTTAAGAAATAATGTGAGAAATATGTGCTGCTGGATGACCACTAGTTTTGTGTACATAGTACTGTCAAAATTCATGATTTGTAAGTTCTTGACATTGGAAAACTGGTTTTTCCCAATACATCTGCCTACAGGTCAACACTAACAACTAAATTGTCCACAGAATTTTGGCCAAAATTGATATTCTGTAACCGGCCACAAAATTGATATTCTGGATCTGGCCACAGTAGAGATCCTACCATTTTGATATGGATATTTTAATTTTTTTTAAGGAGTACATTTTTGAAAATTTCCTAACAGTTCCAAATTTTTGCTTCAGAAATGTTGCTCAAATAAAGCATGTAGGCTTAGAAATCACCAAAGGCTTGATTTCCAATAAAAATCAATGAAATTTTGAAAAATTGGACAAGTTTGTTTTCTTTCTTCCCCCTCTCTCCAACTACTTTATGGACAATTGAGTTTTTCATAAAGAAACCTGTCCTTCAAAACCAGTCTTGAAAATAAGGTCAAGTATAATTGTTTTTGTAGTTTTGGCATATTTAGAGTAAAATAATGACAATTTAGAAAAGTACATATAAAAAAATCTGCTCCAAAACAGCTTCAAATTTTCTGCACAAATGGAGTAGATTTATTTAAATAATATTGCATATTACCTACTTCATTAATACCTGTTAAATTATTAAAACTGCAAAATTTTCCTTTTTTTAAAACTTTTTTTACTCCTCCATACTGAATCATAACATTTCTTTGTATATCCAAAGTACTCTTCAATATCAGATCTTCAAATCATTTCATGTTCACTTATGAAAATATTAGTAATTTTCACTTAATTTTCAATTGAAAAGTGTCGGATCACAGAACATTACGAATATATTATAACCAATAGCTAATAGAGACATACACTGTGGGTCAGTGAGTAAGCATAATTCTCACTGGCAACTCTCAAATTTGAATCCCAGTCCAAGTACATATTTCTCTTAATTTTTGTTCTTAGAACTTTTTGTAAGAGTAGAATTTGTTTGGAAGGAGTTTTTCAAATGATTGTAGATTTCTTAATAGGATATTGAATTATGTACCAGTAATCAATACTACAAAAGGTACATGTTGTCAAAGCTCAATTAGTTTCAATTTTAACAATTCAAATTTCACAATTTGTGAACATACCAAGAAGACAAAATCTAAGACTCTCAGTATTTTCAAACACTTAAAAAAATATGACAAAAACAATTAAAATAAAGAACATCTGCCCAACATTAAAATATACATCAAAGAATGCATTGCAAACAATGCCTGGAGATTGCTTGAAGGTTCTTGAAAGTAAAAATCCTGTAATAATTAATTTCAAGGCCTTTGACATAAACAAGTTATGTGTTCAACAACAAGTTTTGACAACTGTCTACTGGGAAAGCTTTGATTAACTGGACAGTGAAGAAGGGCCTAGAAGATATAAGATAAGCACAAAATAAAAATTCACAGTTGTATCTGCATTCAAAGTGGCAATTTTAACTCAGCATGGTGGTGTTAACAGATTTATATCAAAAGTCTTCTGAATCCCCTCCTGCTTGAATAACAATGCAAATTTTTTTCTTCTTCTTCTCTCCCCCCCTCCCTCGGAAATGGTCTATAGATGCAGTAGTGTTAATGGAATGGAAGCATTTCTGTCCTAATAACGTGTCTAATATAATAAGCATAATTCTCTCACATATCTAAAACAAATTAGAAAATTTTATGAATCCTAGTTTTTCAGATTTTAAAAATTCATGGGTATATAAATAATGTTAATTAAAACTATGATACTTTTTTACTACTTGACCAGAAATATCTAACACCATTGCAGAAACTACCACACAAAAAATCTAATTGAAACACACAACTATAAAAAGAATACAAAAATATTTTTGCCGTACGTACATGGTCTTTCAATTTAGCTTTCAAGTCATTAAGGTAGGCTTCCCTTTTCTCGGCATGGGCATCCATTTTCTGTTCGAGGGCCTCTTTAGTTTGGTTAATGAACTGATTTGTTTGTTCATCTTTCTTTTTTGATGCTTCCTCAATCTTTGACATCTTAGAGGCCAATGCTGCCATTTTGTTTGCCCCAAGTGACTGGAAAAAAAAAAAACAATTTGAAAAAATTAACAATACTATCTCTAACCAGAAAGACAACGTGGGGCACCAGTCATATCATACCAGTCTCCTTTCTTCCGCAGCTTTGAGTTTCTCTTCAATATTTTCTGCAGATACATTTTTATTGTTTGGAGAAACAGGTCGTTTAGGTGGAGTTTCACAGACAGGATCTGCCAGTATCACTTCATAGGCAAATCCACTCTTTCCCTTCTCTTGACATCTGATTTCGGTAGCTGAAAAACAAAATATCACGATGAAGTTATGAGAGAACTTTGTTAAAGAGATAAATGAATCTAATTCATTAATGCAAATATTTTTTTCCTATTCAGTATACATTATGGAAATAATGGAAAGTGTTTGGAATCAAAGGGCATTTCTGAAATAATGAACTTTAACAGCTAGGCATCTGTAACCTAAATATTTAATGTAAAGCAATATAAAAAAAAAAATAACATAATAAACAATAACAAATAACAATAAGTTTAAAAACTGTTGACACTATTTTAACTTCCTCATGATTGGCTCAAAAATGTATCAACCTAATATAGCTCTCTGATCAATTCATTTTATTGTCTGTGTGTATTTCTGATCATCATTGTGAGATCTGATTGTTATCATTAACTCCCTTTTTTTAGCTCACAGCAAGAGCTGAAGTTTGAAGGAAAATCTAAAATACACACAATATTTAAATCTTGGTTTTGATCTAGACTCATGGTGAAGGTTGAAAGCGAAATGATGAATGCAACAGACATTGTCAGGATGCTTTCCAAAATTAACCAGAATTTACAAGAACATTGTAACCGGGACGAAATTACTGAATGAAATATCTGAATAAATAAATTTGAAATACATAAAGTAAATAATAAATAAATTTTATAAGTGTGTTCGATCAATCTTGGATAATAATCAGAATCACGGAATAGTAGCGATAGTAATAGTAGTAATAGTAGTAGTAGTAGTAGTAATAATAATAATAATAATAATAATAATAATAATAATAATAATAATAATAATAATAATAATAATGCCATCCTCGTGGTGCAGACTGTTGCGGCGGCCGTCGTCTGCGCCGAGGCTGCAGGTTCGAGACCTCCGTAGGTGTAGTCGTACTTGCGATTGTCCCTTCACCACTGAACATTGCCATCCTTATCACCCCATATTTCAGGGCGTAACAATCTTGCCTTATCGAGTGATACTGCTGAAAAGTTTATGCTAATAGTTAAACACGTTAATCGTGTAGTGTGGTCAGAAATGAACTACACGCAGATGATAATAAGCCGGCCCCGCTGGTGCAGACGGTTGCGGCCGCCGTGGTGTGCGCCGAAGAGGCTGCAGGTTCGTGTCCTGCGTAGGCATGGTCGTAAGATTGATAATCCCTTCACATCATCATTCGAAAACCTCATAATTCAAGGCGTAACTATCTTGTCTTACCAAGGAATACAGCCGAAAAGCTGATCCCCACAATATGATAATCTCTTTGGGATAAATATGACTGTCTCGGACGATAACGTGCAGAGGGTCATAATAGTCAATACGCATAAAATAATAATAATAATAATAATAATAATAATAATAATAATAATAATAATAATAATAATATAATCTAGTATGATTTAACGTGAAATAACTCAACCGGTCACTGATCGGTAATGCGATTTTCACAAAATTTGTGAGGAATAACAAATACTAGCAGTCGAAACGATCGTGATCATTTTGTTACGAAACAATATTAAACGAACACGGCCCAGAAGCAAGAGGGAGAGTAGGAGGTGGGGGCGGAGGCGAAGGGCGGCGGCCGGTGGCGCCGCAAGGGCGAACAAATCGACGCCAGGGTTTCCCTGTTGCGCGGCGTGGCGGGGCGAGGCGGGGCGA